TAGTACCAGCAAGGGTTTGGCCCATATCCACCTTCATCGTTTTATTATTAACAAATCAATAGCATACCCCCAAAGGACAGAGAATTAGGTTGCAGAAAACAAGATGCCTTTCTGGGAAGCTTTTTAACAAATAGGATAGAGCAGTAAGTGGGCACTTAAACTGTGTCCAGGACAGATGCTGCTGTGCCCAAAATGCTGAGTTAGCAATGCACATCTGGATGAGGTGCCCTGTATCCAATGCCACATTCAATGACCTCCCTTCTCATAGATTCAAAGAATTTGGGAGCTAGGTGGGATCTAAAAAGATATTTGGTTCAACCCCCTGTATTACACAAGAAGAAACAGGTACAAAGAAATAAGTTGACTTGATCAAGTTTCAACACCTAACCTCTGTTAGTCTAACCTAGGCACTGCTTACACAGCCAGGTCTCCCAAATCCCAGCCCATTACACTATTGCAGATCTGCACAACTTGTAAACTTCTTCTGGTCACAGATAGGTTAGAGACAGACTGGCAATGGTTGGTTGCCTTGGATCATGTGACAAACAGGAGAGTGTGCAGTGGCAACCCTACATTTTTCAAGGGTCCCCTGACATCCTTTGGCAGGATGCAAGTGACCCTCAGGCCCCATATTGTGCAGGCCTTCACCATTGTGTAGCTTAACACTTGTGATTCACTAGCCTGCAAATTACCATTAACAGTAGTGATTAGTGAGAGGAGAAATAGGAAGAGTAAATTATCCCTAAACAACTAAAGCAATAATATTTATGTTGGGGTTGGGGAAAGGGGAACTAGAACTTTTTTTTTTATTAAAGAGTTCCCAAATACTATTCAGCCCTTAAAGTTTGTTCCATCACATCTCTGTGTCTGTCCCAATGTCTGCACACTTTAACTCATGAAACATTTCTTCTTCAGGTACTCCTGAAGTATTAGCCACCTAGCACAGTCAAATCTCCAAAATGTCTACTTCATCCTGAAAAATAAAAATACTCACTTAAGAGCCTCCACCACTCCATCCTAAAAAGAAATCAACATCAAAATCTCCTTCCTTGTTTGAGGAATCCTTGCAAGGTCATGAAGCAGAGTGGGAGTGAAAGAACATACTTCCCACCCACCCAGACACTACCATTGATTTACCAAGGAAATGGGCTGGTTTCCTTAAGGTGCCAATTCCAGAACATCTACAATATGTGTCTAGGGAAGGATTTTCCTTTGACCATTGATCACTTAAACTGTGAGCTTTGAGAGGGACTTGAATTGGTGGTTCCAACACCCAATCACAGCATCCTGAGATCAAAGTCCTGGTGAAGCTGCTGATAGGTGCTGTCCCCCTAACCATTCTGCTCAGTGCTTTAACATTTTTGGCTTCCATTTGGCAAAAGGGAAGGAGGGGCAAAGGGGGGGAGGGGAGGAAGGGTGAGAATTAACCTTTGGAACCAAAACAAACACTTCTTTTGTAAACCGTGTAGGGTGACCAACAATTGCTCCTTTGTTCGGTAACTAGGGAGTGGAAGACCTGGTGGAATTCAGAACCGGGTCCACTCACCCAAAGGGGTGAGGACAGCCCCGAAGGACTAGTCTGCCCCTTGAGGCAGGAGGAGATAAGGGGGAAAGCAAAACTCTAGATTCCCAGAGACCCTGTTGCAGGGTAGTTCCCTCTCCCAAACCCAAGTCAGTACACATAATACACTCAGTGTTCTATGAATTTCCTTTATAAGATCACATGCAGGTCAAGGAGAAGAAATAAAGCTAAATTAACTTCCCTCCATCATCTCAGGTTATGGAGCTTTTCCTGTCCAGGGATGGATCCATTTGGACTTCTCCTATTAGTGTGAGTCCACTCATCAGTCCAGAGGCAGGGGTGCCCTTGGTTATGCTGGAGGAAGCTGGAAGTTTGCAAGGAGGCACCACCATTTTGACCCCCCCTTTGATGAGTGAAGGTGTCTGAAGAAAGGATTTGCTTTTTGTCACCCAGAATGCCTCCTACTGGTTCTGCTTCTCACTGGGCTAGTATGGAAGCAGGGGAAAGGGGAAGTGGCAAAAGTTTTAGTTCTTCAAATTGCTGTGGTGAATCTGGGCTGTCACTTAATTCTTTTTCATGGGCCAGTATTCTTACCTGTAAAAACAGGGATAATAATTCAATTAATTAAGAATTAATCATTCAAAGGACCCAGGTTCAAATCTTGATTCTGCTACTAACTAGCTGTATGACCTTTCAAGTCACTCTCCCTCTCTAGGCCTTGTTTTCTTCATCTTTAAAAAGAAGGAATTGGACTAAATGGTCATTAAGGAGCTTTCCAGCTATAAATCTACGACACTCCATGGAGATGACATGAGATAATAATGAGCAAAATTATTTTCAAAGTAATAGTAAATGAAGACTTCCTCTGGTTCCCTTCGGGAACCGCCTGGGGGGGTGTCACCAAATATCCGCCTGAGAGAGTGGCAGAAAATTTTTCTCTCTTTTCTAAAAGCCTAACAGCTCAGTTCCCCTTCCCCCCACAAACACGCTTCATTCTAATCTTTGAAAATGGTCATCTCTCCCTCCAAAAAAAATAAAATAAAATAAACCCTCTCAAGTGTTTGCCCACTTCATTTTGAATGACTTTAAAGCTCTTTGAATAAAGATAAGAGAGGATTGTGTACGTTTTCAACACAAATGGTGGAAAGGTAATGAAATAAACATCAAAGGTAAGCTCCCCCACACTTGCTTAGACTTTGCTATTTACAACAAAGACAGGAAAAAGGAGGAACCGTAACCTTAGTAAGGGCATGCAGTTAGAAACTGTTGCCTTTGCAAAGAGCCAGCAATCTCTCCTCAAAATTCACATCGATGCTTTTCTGGAAAGAAAGGAAGGCAGAAGAAATTCTCATGGCCCTTCGGAAGCACCCTTCATTTTCTGGCTCCTTAAAATAAAAAATCCAGGTACCCTTATTAAAAAAGCAAAGGGGAGTGAGGAGGTGAAAAGAAATGGCTGAGTCCTCCTCCAATCCATCCGCCTGAGACCCACCCTACTTGTCGCTAAATGTTTACTTTCCACACTCAGGTGAAGTTACAGTCCTATTCAGTCCAAGTTTTTTCAAGTCAAGTGCAGGCAAATCCGTGTACTTTCCTGAAAACCAAAGAAGCGAACCTTCCGTCCCCAGAGGAGAAAGAGTAAGGAGCCTAGAGAGACATCCCGTGGAAGAAGCATCTTCCCATCCCAAAGAAAAGCGCAGGCGTTGCTTTGATTTTTTTAAGTGCGAGGAAGAGATCACTTAGGGAAAAATCAAGTGTGTTCAATAAAATTCAGGCAAACAAGTTTTCATTGAGGATATTGTATTGAAGTTTTAGAATGTACAGAGAAATTCTCAATTAGAGCGAGTTAATTCAAAAAGAGTAATGTCAAGGAAAGGATTTACTATAACAGGCACAGCACCTAGTAGGAACAGCGTCCTCCTTTCCAGAGATGTATTAGCCTGGGAAATACATAGCTCTTACTTTTTTCTTATAGTCTACTATACGATTTCCCTGACGGGGTTTTTACATCGCTTCCTACCTCCCACCACCCCAATAAGTAATGTTCTAACTTTACATGCAAAAACATGTCTGATGCTTAGTTTGGACAGACTACAGCCTTGAGCTTTGAACATCTGATCAAACTTTTTACAGCACCTGGAATTCCACGGTACCAACAGACACCATTCCTGACAGTCTAAAGCAGTATCTGGGTTTTTCCCCCTAGGGTTTAATCCATCGCATCCCAGCTCTTCGTCCAACATTGCTCTACATACGAATGTATTTTAAGGTAGCTTCGTAAGTCCCAAAACGTAGTTGGATCTATCCTGCTCTACTACCTAGATGCCAGTCCTGCAGTTTACACCTGGGAAGGAGGAGTTTGCTATGCAAAATACACACACACACACACACACACACACACACACACACACACACACACGTCTCCTGCCAGCCGTCCATCATTGGAAGGGAGGAGGAGGGCGGAACCTGGCAGATACAAAAAAAAAAACAAACAACCTGTTCGAAACAACTTTCCAACAAGCTCTCCATGTCACTGGGATAATTACGGCTCTGATCTCGCCCATTAACCGCTGCCCACCTTTGCTACCTTGCCTCTCCACCCACCCGCCTTTCAGATCAGGGGTAAGCTCCGCCTCCGCTGAGGCAGCCCAGGGTTATATTGTGCCCGTCTGAAGGTGGAGGAGAGACGGAGCGAGGGAAAGGGAAGGAGATAGATAATGACAATAATGCTAATAGTAATAAAAACCCGGCTGCCACTGCTGCGGCCTCGGGGAGTGAATCCAGCAGAGCAAGACTAGAGGCCCCCGAATCCTCTCAGCCCGCGGGAGCATCAGCACTTCAACCACAGAGGAAAAGCCTGAGAAGAGATCGGGAGAGAGTGCAATCATCAAGCTCGTTATTTGGAATCATACATATATACATCTTTTATTTATTTACTTTTCCCCATTGCCATCATGGACAGTAATACAAATCCTTTCTGCTGCAGGAGACTAAGGAACTAACTTTTTTTTTCCTGACGGATGACGAAATTTGAAAACACCCTCAGTCTGACAAACTCACCCAGATCCAGCGCAGCCTGGGTACAAGGGCCTGCATTCCCTCCCGTCCCCCTTCGAGGAGTATTCATTCTTCTGCCTGGAGACAGCACCCACTTCACATCTCCACTCACCACCTTAATCCAACCACCAGGCCCCTCCAAGATCCATCGGAAGAGGAGTCGCATCGCCCACTGAAGCGTGGCTACTTTTCTCTTCAGAAGGAAAGGGAGAGCAGCCGAAGGAGACAGGCAAGACACAGATTCCGACATCTCGGCCACCTGCAAACTACTTCCTCTGACTGCTGTCCCGTGTCCAGGGGGAGCTGTCCGAAGGGAAGGACAATACAGGTGGGCAGAAAGAGGGCGTAGGAAAAGAGGAGTCTAAGGAGAGACAGAAGGAGGACCAGAGAGGAGAGAAGGGTTGGGGTGGGAAAGAGAGAGAAAACGCGGGAGACAGACAGAGAGAGAGAGAGAGAGAGAGAGAGAGAGAGGTGTGAAAGGTGGTGGTGGGATGAAGTTAGAGATTTTCGCCCTCCGCACCTCCTACGAGGAAAAGACTTCAAACGACCTGGAAGGCGCCGGCGGCAGCCGTGGCCCGTCGTCTCCCCTCTCGGTTGGGGGCGAGGATGACCTGGGCTCGGATGAGGATTGCGCAGCCAACAGCCCGTCCTGCAGCAGCCTAACAGGGGAGCTGGCGACCGACTGCAGCCACAGCAGCAGCAGCAGCGGGGGCGAAGGGAGCGAGAGCGGCTGCTCCGGGGAAGATCCCTCTTTGACAGCCTCAGCCTCGCAAGGCGCTTCCACTGAGACAGGAGGTAACTCCAGCGGGAGCAGCAGCAGCGGTTGCAACCCCAGCGGCGGCTGCAACCCCAGCGGCAGCAATTGCGAGGGAGGGGGCGGGCGGGGCAAGCCCTACACCCGGCGACCAAAGCCCCCTTACTCTTACATCGCGCTCATCGCCATGGCCATTCGCGACTCAGCCGGGGGTCGCCTGACCCTAGCCGAGATCAACGAGTATCTCATGGGCAAGTTCCCTTTCTTCCGCGGCAGCTACACGGGATGGCGCAACTCGGTGCGGCACAACCTCTCGCTCAATGATTGCTTTGTCAAGGTGCTCCGCGATCCCTCCCGCCCCTGGGGCAAGGACAACTACTGGATGCTCAACCCCAATAGCGAGTACACCTTCGCCGACGGGGTCTTCCGCCGCCGCCGCAAGAGGCTCAGCCACAAGGCAGCGGCGCCCCCGTCTTTGCAGCCCGAGGAGAGCGCTCCAGGAGCGGCGGCTGCAGCCGCTGCTGCAGCTGTGGCAGTGGCTCACCCGGCCGGCGCCGCCCGCCTGCTGCTGCCGCCGCCTCCACCTCCTCCCCCTCCTCCTCCCCTGACCTCTGTGGGCCGTGTCCCCGGCGGCGGCGGAGGTGCAGTGCCCTCTTCTTCCACCTCCTCCTCTTCCCTGTCTCCGTCCTCCTGCTCCCCGGGCTGCAAGGAGGAAAACACGAGCCCTGCGCGCAAGTTCTCCAGCTCCTTTGCCATCGACAGCATCCTCAACAAGCCCTTCCGCCGCCGCGGAGACCAGGGCGCAGAGACTCGGTCCTACCCCCAGCCCGCGAGGCTGCTGTGGTCCGCCGCCGCCGCCGGCGCTTCCTCCTTACCCGGCGCTGCTGGATACCCGACCTTAACCGCCTTCCCTCCGGCCCCACACTCCCAACAGCAGTCCCCCCTGTTCCCCAGGGGGGGTGCGCGGGCGGCCATCGCAGGAGGGACCCTCTTGCAGCTGTACGCATATGGAATGGGCGAGCCTGTTCTCCTGGAGACTCAGAGAAGGGAGACGCCGCTGGCTCTGGCTTCTGAGCCTCGTGCAGAGCAGCCCCAAGCGCCGCAGCTTTTCCTCTCGCCTTCCTTCTCCGCCTCGGCCCCTGCCAAGGCTTTCCGAAGTCCGCTGGTTGCGGGCAGTTCGCAGTTGTACTGCCCCCTCCGATTATCCGAAGCCTTACAAGCAGCCTCGGGATGCGGCCCCAGCACTTACCAACCTTACCCCATGGAGACTCTTCTCGCCTAAATGGGAAAATGTGGGGTGAGAAAAGGTGGTGGTATTTGGGCTGGAGAATGGAAAAGGGAGGAGAAGAGAGAAAATTCGGTCTCTTGGTTCTACCCAGAGACTTAAAAAAGAAAATCCAAATTTCACGTGCCTTAAAACCAGATGCATTTTCAAAAGATGTTTTAACTTAATTAGTCCAAAAAAGTTTTATTTTGTCTTTTAATGGACCAAAGCGATTCTTAATCATTGTTTGAAAACTACTTGACTAAGACTTTTCCTCTCTTCTTTACCAAGAAACCCTTCATCCCTAAACCCTCTGCCCTTAACACTTTTCCCTTAATTCTTCCTAGGCAAAAGAAATTTGCAGCTTGATCAGGGAACAATTCCACAAGATATATTATGAGACTACTGTTTGGGGCATACTGGACCCCACTCTGTGTGTGTATGGTTGCATTTGCTGATGTGTTTGAGTGTGAGAGTGTCAGAGTTTTTAGGTCAGTTCTCTGCTATAAACCAATGCATCACTGTGCCAAAAGAGAGAGAAAACTGCATAATTCTAACTGAATTTGTTGATGGATTTTTTCTAGTTAAATTATTTATATTGAAAAAACCCTTTTGAATTGAAAATGTTGCAGGCAACGGGCTACAGCCTTATCTGTGGTTCAGTGATATTTAACTGTGGCCCTTTAGGACTAAACAGTTCCTTACAAAATTAGCATTATAAATTATGTTAAGTGCCAGGATCACTGCCACTGGAAAGCAGATGTGATTTTTATTTTTATTTTTAATGTTATTTTATTTGTATCTGTGTGTATACACTGTGTAAATTTTATAAAACTCAGGCATATGCTTATTTTTGAATAAAATTCACAAAACAATGGGCCTAAGTGTGTATATGGAGTGTCAGAGGTTGTTTTGGTCAAGTGATGAGATCCTAAGAAAACTTCCAGAGTTTTAGGGGGAATATTTCTAATCTAGGCTATCTCCCATGTTTTTATTGCCTTCTTAGAATGGGCCCTTGTTCGAAAGAGCTTAATAAGGCATTATGTTCTTTAACTCTCTCCACCATCATTAAGATCTACCTAACTTACCCAGAAACAGTTTATACGTTCTATGTCCCTCCAAAGAATGTTCTCCTTGGGAACATGATTCTTTAAACAAACTTATCCAGATAATCATCTGCTGGGGAAGTTACTTCTATACCTCTTAGCATATACCTTCCCTTTCCATCCCTCCCCCAAAATACCTGAAGGAATTGTAGTGTGTCTAGGTCCCAACAACTAAAGCCTGCTCTAGCACTTTTAAGTATTTTTCCAGTGCTGAGTATTTTTGTTAAAATAAAGATGTTTGCCTTTTCAGGAATATAGTATTCTAGCAGGGAGTGGGAAACCAGTAACTTTTCTCTTTCTGGGTTTTTCATTTTGTGAAGATTTAAACTGTCATTGTTGCAAAGACAAGTTTGATCATGGGATTGCAGAGCTGGAGGGAAACTTAGGTCAAACTACTCAAGAGTTGGGGGGGGGTGGAATTAAACCTCAGCATTTGTTTGAAACCAGTAACCTCATTCAGAAGAGGTAGGCTAACCACCAAAATCACACCAGAAGAGAAAGATAGACACAGACGGTGAAATATTAAATGAATCTCAGTTTAAGAGGATTAATTTAGGGGACCTGTCAAGTACATGTGCACCTGTTTCTCAGTAAATCCAAAGATAATATTGTTCCAGCACTGAAAGAGTTAAGCCATTCTAAATAAGAGATATACACTGACTGTAAATGTCACTATTACAAAGAGACTCAACCATTGTCCCACCTGTTCATACATACCCAACACACATGCTCCAAGTTGCTAAAGCAGAACTAGAATCCTTCACATTTTTTTTTTCTTTCAGGTAAGAGGGAAAAACAATTGCAGTGTTCCCAGGGTACTGCCTTTTGGCACCAATGAAGAAACACTTTTATCCTCAGTTCTAACTGCTGGTTTTAACTGGTTAGTTTACTGGTGTTAATCTAGTGATTTCAATGAACTATTCTTATTGTTTATTTATATAGATCTCACAATTGAAAAGAGCATTATCAAATCATAACACAATAAAAGACCATTTAGGAAGAAAAGACAAGCTGAGTTGGAAGAATATTAGCAATACTGAATTATCAGAAAATACTACACCAACTAAATATAAATCCATTTTAGATCTGTCCTTGTTCACCTATAGAAGAATGTTGAGGCTCAGTCTACACTGAACAATTAAAATCTCAATATAATGGAAATGGGGAGGGGGAGCTTTCATCTTTCACCTAAAATAAAGAGAATTAAGGTGTATTACTTTGGTTGGAATTATTTGCATAAATGGTTTCAGTCTTTTTCATTTGTAAACACAGTCTGAAAGAAAGGTAAGTTTGTTCAAATTAGCTTTCTACCATTTTGTGGAATTAGTCAACTAATGCTGCCTGATCTTAACCTTAAAAAAAAATCTTTTTCACATGGATGTAGTTTTGTGTTAAATACAAGAAGTAAATTTTTGTAACACAAGCAGCAAAATGTATATACTGCACATATATATGATATAAGAGCATAAAATGCCAAGCAGAAAGTAGACTTTTAAGAAGCAGAGTTATTTGGTTTTTTGTTGGGGGATTTTTAAGCACTCACTGAGTGTCCAACTGCTTCAAGCCCCAGTCTGGGTCACCTAGCTAGGTAGCACTGTGAGGTTTTCTAGAGAGAAATTTCACAAAACATTGACTGAGAACTGGGTGAAATCTCAAAGGCCATCTGGTCCAGATACTATGAACTTTTCCCCTATAAAATAAATAATTTCTAGTACCTTTTTGGGTTCTTAAATTTTTTAAATGCTTTTCTCATACTTTTAAGGATCCAAATTAAAGTGACTAACTCTGGAGCTGGTTTAGGAGGAAATGACAGAAATACAAGGAGAAGTCTATAATGAAGTTTACACTTTTGTCCCAGCTCCCCCGTCCACCTCTCTCTCCTCCTTCCCTTAAATTCTATTTTTTCAGTCTTTCCATAGAAAGAGTTCTCTATGACCAGAAAGCAGAATAATGTCATCAAAATCCTGTTATGATTAAAAAGAAAAAAATTTTACAAATGACATTAATAATTAGCGATGTGTTTCAATTCCCTTGGGTTAGTTAAAATTTGTAGCAAATTCTTTTGATAATTGTCCTGAAAGTGGAAATTCTCATAAGGAGACATTTTGGTTTCTAGGAACTAAGGGGAGGAAGGGGAGTCCTATAAAGACGCTATGTAAAGACCCTTATGACTTGGACGAGAAATCCCCTTCATCGGAAGGAGTTGAAAAAAGAGTTTATCTGCTTGAGAGCCCAGAAGCTATAATGCACAAGACGTTCAGTGGGATGCAGTCTCTATCTCTGACTTTAGCTGATTCCAGGGTCAGTCCTCCTCCCTCCCCCAACACCAGAACGGAGCTGGGGGAAGGGATAGAGGGGGAGGCTTCTAGGACCTCTGCGTTGACAGCCACCGGTTGGCAAGCAGGCAGGCACCCGGCAGGACGCACAATTTGGGAGAATGGACTCCCCTAGGGATCTGGGCTGTAAATCAGGAGACCTGTCAGACCTGAGAGACTGAGATGAATGGGGGGTTGGAGAGGGGACGCTGAGCACACCTGTCCAAACACCCGGCAGCAGCAGGCAACCGCAGAGCAGACACTTGACCGCGGCGGGTGGCATGGGGGATGGTGAGGTGGTCTGTTTGCTTTGGGAGGCTCCGCTGGAATCATCCCCCAACCCCAACACCAAGCTAGGCCACCGGCTGCACTAGCAAGCGGGCAAGGACAAGGAGAGCAGAAGGCAAATAAGGATCAGAGTAGTCCGGATTTGTCCTCCGGGCCTGGCAGGTGTCAGTCTGCTCTCTAAAATGTTCCTCCTGTCTTACTTTGTAGTAGTACCAGTCAACTTGCAGCGCGACGCTCAGAAGGCTTCCTTACCTCTTCGGGAAATGGGGGCTGGGGTGGGTAGATGGAGGCCGTTTCTCCCCACCCTCTACTTTCCCTAGTTTCCTCCCTGATTCTTTCCTCTCTAAGAGACCTGAACTGAGCTAACTCTGTCATTCTCTCCTCAGTTTCCCATTCAACTCCCGTCATGAGGGAAGCAGCAGGTTGTCTAATGGCTTTGTAGGTGGAAACATTTGGCCAATCCTAAGAAGTACCATGCATATACTTTACTATAGCCTTCCACAATCCCCTTCTCTCCACTCCACCCCCAACTGATTCTTCATAAGTGATTAGAAGTGGAAGACATAGGATTTGGGGATGAGGGAGGGGGAAAACCCAGGATCAGAACTCTTGCCTTTTGCAGAGAGCTAGCAGGCTTCTAAGAAGATGACTCCTTGACTGGTTGCAATGATTTACAAATACAGGTGGAATTCAGTTCAATTTGGCCAACTTCTGATGAGCTTCTCTTGTATTAAGGGCACTATGCTACTAAGAAATGGTCCCTGCTTTCACTGAGCTTATATTTTAGTTGTGGACAATGCATAAGAGGAAAGTAGAGGGGGATTTTTTCCCCTTCCTCCTGCCTCCCAACTATGGCTCCACTTAACTGTATTCCTTTGAGCTTCCCCCATGTGTCTTATATGCCATGTCTAGATTCAAATTCTCCTTCTACTTCAGAACTGGTGTTGAAGAGTTGATCTGAGATCATCTAGTTCAATCCTCTCATTTTACAGATAAGGAAAATCAGGACTAGAAAGATTAAGCAACCTGTCTAAAGTCACAAAGGCAGGAAGTAGCCAAGGATTCAGACCTGGTCCTCTGAGCCGGAACCAGTTCTCTTCCCACTGGTAAACAGTATGATATGATAAGTGTTAAAGAAATGTGGGGAGAAAAAAGGAATATGCTACCTCAACAAAAGATCATTATATTGCAACTAACATAATTAGGGTAGGCTTCATGGAGAAGATTGTGTTTGAGTTGGAATTTAAAAGAGGAATTCAGGAATTCAAGGGGGTGAGGGAGAAAATTCTGTCTGGTCTCATAGCAACATAGAAATGAAATAATTTCAATCCACTTTTGAAACCATATATAACCAAATCTTTGTCTCTAATGTATTGCCAGACACACTGTAGGAATTTAACAAATTGTTGATGGCTTGTGGAAGACAATCATCTAGATGATTAGACTCTTGAACTGGAATATTCAGATAATTTAGCTAGAGAAAGGAGAAACAGGACAGATGTTTGGCTTATATTATCCAGAGAACTGCTCCAGTACTTTGCTTTGCTAACATTCTCTCTCAGTCTGTCCCAAACAGGAGAAAGACAAGTTTCTTTCATTTCTGAGAAGATTGAGCCTATGAAAGATCCTATGAATGTTTTAGGAGGAACCTCGCTTTGATTTCATTTTTCTTGCACACTTACCTGAATTTTTTTGCACTAGAGTTGTGTATATATCATATTTCCTACTAGACTGTAAACACCATGATAACTTGAACCTTGTCTTACCTTATTTTGTATCTAATCCACATGGGAAGGGGCCACACCCCAGTAAAACTAACTGGGCAGATGGGCTAAACCAGGTTGACGGTAACTGATAGGGCTCAAACTGATCAGTGAGTTAAGGGGATGTCTACCCCAAGACTTCCCCCAAAGAACTGGCAGGTGGGAACAAGTTGTTCCAATGGAGCTTGGTTAGACATTGAAGATGCCAAGGTTATCCAGTGCATCCTGAGTCATTGACTGTCAATGATTGACAGTCATCAACTTTTGTCTTGCCACTGGACTCTGGAAGAGAGAGTGAGGCTTATGACTTTGTGCAACTCTGCCTCACTTAAGTAAAATTCATGAGCAAGTCAAGATATTAC